CCTCCAAATCCGGTTGACAAACGCAGCCCTCCAGTCGGCAATTTGGGGGACACATCCAATCCATGCTTTGTGGCTCCCATCATGCATTGTGGGCCAATTCTATTTTATTCAGGATGGCAACAGTGTGGTGCCAGCGGGAGTTCACATTTAAAAAGTAATAGAATTCTGTCGAATGTCTACCGCTATATCGTATAGTAAAATATTTAACATCACATCTTTATTTATAAAATGGTTTAAGTGAGATTGGTAACCAATGTCTTGGTTTGAAATATACATAAGACGTTAGAACAAACGGCTCTTATGGTAGATTCACACCAAAAGCAAAGGGAATTTTCGCAACAATTTGCGTCATTCGTGTACCCTTCATTTGCTAGATTTTGCACACTTATCTTCAAAAATAGTTATGTTTCGCTATCCACCAGGGAAATAACAAACATTAAAGCCGCAAACGCCGTTGTGTTTGGGTTGACATCATCCATCTCTTTGACTACAAAAATGGTAATGACACACACAAGACAATTTATTATCATTTCTTTTATTACCATTTTTTTCAAGTTATATGAAATCATAAAGATGTATTAGACTTTTCTCATTTCTGAGGCAATGTACAATTACAGTCCAGTTGTACATGCCAACAAAAAAAAGAAATACTACATATAAATTATTGAAAAATTTTCTCGTATTATCAAAAATATCTGATCATAATTATCAAAATACCGTCACGGTTCAATCTAAAGGTTTTCATATACCACATGGATTATAAAGAGCACATTTCAAGTTGGGGTACTTAGACCATCAGAAAAAAACTTCTTATGTCAAGATGGAGAAACAGCAAAATAATGATGGACTTCTACAGTGTTAATAAAGTTGTTAAATGGAATGCTGTGCCAAATATAAAATTAAAAACACCAACAGTCGCTGCCAGCTATCTAAATATCAGTGTCAATATCATTTCCATTCACATTACAACAGCAGTTTAAACATCTAGGCCAATTTTTTGTCACAATAAAGACGTTCAGAAATGAAGTGGGAGAATTCAGTTGAGACATAACCCGTTTTACACTCAGCGGCCACTTTATTATGTACCACTTGCAATTATTGTTGGACCCCCTTTTTCCTTTGGAACGGGCTTAATTCTTCGTGACATACTTTCAACAAGGTGTTTGAAATGTTCCTCAGAGATGTTGGTTCATATTGACATGATGGCATCGCGCAGTTGCTGCAGATTTGTAGGCTGCACGTCTATGATGCAAATTTCCCGTTCCACCAGATCCCAAAGGTGCTCTATTGGATTGAGATGTGGTGACTGAAGGCCATTGGCGTACAGTGAACTCATTGACATCTTCAAGACACCAGTATGAGATGATATGAGCTTTGTAACATGGTACATAATCCTACAGGAAGTAGCCATCAGAAGATGGTACAATGTGGTCACAAAAGGGATGGACATGGTCAGCAAAAACTCAGGTAGGTTGCAGCATTTAAACCATACTTAATAAGTGTGCTAAGAAAGTATCCCACACACCATTACACCACCAGACTGAAGCGTTGATAAAACCCATGTTCATGTTAAACCAAATTCTAACCCTACTATCAGAATGTTGCAGCTGAAATCCAGACTCATCAGACCAGGAAACGTTTTTCCAATCTTCTATTCGATTTTGGTGAGCCTGTGTGAATTGTAGTTTCAGTTTGTGGTTCTTGGCTAACAGGAGTGGCACCCGGCGTGGTCTCTGTGGTCTGTAGCTCGTCAAGGTTCCACGTGTTGTGAGTTTAGAGATGGTATTCTGCATTACTTGGTTGCAACCATTGGTTATTTGAGTTACTGTTGCCTTTCTATCATCTCTAACAAGTCTGCCCATTCTCCTGACCTCCAGCAAGAAATGCGAGACAATTATAGGGAAATCCATGAGTTAAGCTTCATACATGACACGTAACTAACTAGTAGCATTCTTACATCACATGTGTTACATTTATAGAACCATAATAACAAAGTCGTATTTTTTTTTCATATATTGTGTTGACATCAAAAAGGGGCCCCTTTAATTTAAAACCATAATATAAGCTATAACATTTAAGGATGAAAATTATCTGGGTTAGGACAAAAACATTAAAGAAAAAATCCTTAAAGTTATTTAAATTGTGTCATTTGGCCCACTGCTGGTCCACTATTTGACAGAAAACATGTATGCATTTGGCTAAGCAACAAACTGAGGCAACAAGTCAATATTTGGGTAGTTAAACCTTTTGCAAAACAATGTGTGCAAAGGTGGGCTGAAATAAAAATAAAAATAATTTGTATAAATTAAATTAAGGGCTTTAAAGTTATGCATAATTAAGGAAATGGCTGCTTTGAGGGACATGGATTCAGTCACATCTACGAGGTGTAACCTCAGCTAATAACAGTTACAAAATTTAACCTTGTGCCATTGCTTGTGGAGTTGATGCCTTTTGGGATTTTTAAATGGAAATACGGGGAAAAAAAACTGCTTGCCGTGCGTTTCATTCCGCACTAGGCATCCTGCTGGTCAACATTCCGTTGCTGGATGACCACTGTGTTTGCAGCAGGTTTCAACAGGATATCAAAGAGTAATGTTCTTGGAACTTGGCTGCATCCTGGACAAATCGGAGCAGCTGGAGGGATTGCAGTTTTTTGGTGACTGGACTTTTGTTAGTAAAATTCTATGATTTGTTTACAACAGGACAAGCTGACAACAGGAGGTACAAGAACACAGTGTTAACTACAGATGTTAGCACAAAGTAGCTGCTTTGTGTTGTCCTGGCTAAAGTATAAGCTCTTAGCCAAGACAGGGTTTAAGTCTTCGGATTAAGTTGAAGCTCTTTTTCACTTTATTATTTTTATTAATTTGTAGGTGAAATACTTTTGTAATGTCTACCGTACTTAGGGATGCTACAATTTATCCATGAGCTAATCCAAAAAACAATCTTTAGGATTAAAAATGTATGTTTCAAAGACGGAGCCTAATATATATTTTTTAATTTAATGTTCAGAGGGCCAATAAAAATGGTGCTTAAGAATGACCAGCTACATAGCAAATACCAAAACAGATCAATACCAACCCAAAACTATCTTATACAATTCCAAAGATGACCGTAAAAATGTAGCACATTAACTTATTTTTTTGAAAGATGGCTTTGCATGTCTGCGAAGTTTCATTGTGGTTTTACCGAGTTCTGGATTGAGTTAAGTCAAATAAAGCTCTAACAAATTGGCATACACGGTAGCCAAGGCAGTGGCACTTTACATTAAAAAAATTACACATTTCAGCGACAGTTAACAGATTAACGTCCACATCAAGTGGCTGTTTTGGTGTGTGCATATCTAGGATTTACTAATCTTGTGTCGTTACTGTTTAAAAATGTTACTGCGTTAGAGCTAAATGAAAGGACAATCCTAGGCAGATTAATTTTTCATATTGTACATAGTCTAGTGACCAGCATACTCTGAACCTCTGTTTGACTAGCCCTGTCTGCCATACATTGAATTTTCAAACACGTATTTAAAAAGTGACAGCATTGGTTGCAGCACAGAGTGACAGGTCTTGGGAGGAGAGAGGAGCTCACTTGAAGGCTGAGCGCAGTTCTTTGAAGGCAGTACGTCTCTGTTTCTGCTCTTCAACATGCTTCTTCTTGTCCTCCTGCTCTTGGCGGATCTCTGCTTCGAACCGGTTGGACTCATTGATGGCCTGGACCTGTCCAACAGTAAGATGCATAGCTTTCAGGAAATGGAATTAGAGTAAAACAGTTCATTGCAGTAAACATAATAGAATTATCATAATTAGATTTCAACCTCATTCATGAATGAACATTTTAAGAGGTGATTCCATCTGCTTTAAATTCAGTAATTGTGTCTCAAGAAATCAGTGGAATCAAGTAGGATAGAAGGGATTTGGGGGGCAGAGGGGGTTTGTTGAGGGAGAGAGGGAGGGTGGGGACTTCTATGGGGAGTGCGAGGGCGGGCGCTGAGTGTGTAGAGAATGGCTCGGGCTGATGCTCACTGGAGTGATCTCTCTTACGAGACGCGGTGAATCATGATGACAGCATGAGTACGAGGGGGCCTGGGAGATTGGGAGGGGGTATTTAAGGGGGGGATAAGATGGCTGAGAGGGTGAATAGAAGGGAATTATTTTTTTGGGAGGTGTGGGGGGAAAGGAATTGAGGGAGGGTAGGACACCTGTCAGTGGGGGAACAAGGCAGCTTTGTTAGAAAGTGGGTTAAACGGAGGGGGCTCATGTAAGGGAGGGGGTGCAAAGGAGGTTCTGAAATATCCTCTGTAAGACCTGAATACCTTTTTATTTTTGATTTAACGAGACCCAAGACTGACGAACCCGTTCAGTTTATGAACATGTCTCATAAATACGGCATAATGGCAGTTGACAAAACGTGTACCTTCTGTTTTTTTTATGTCAGCAGATTTGTATTTGAGCCTATGGAGCTTGAGGCAGACGTTGACTCACTTTCAGGCCTCTCAGGCCAAAAGTAAATGTCTGTGGGATTCCATCGCCACATGACTACAACCAGCACAAGCATCATTTTGAAATATTCTGGCAATGAGGGCAGAAGAGCAATATTTTTTTAACCAGATCCTGATGCTGCTGTACACTATGTTCTTTAGCACTCTAAGAAACACAATACACGCTAATGTAAAACTCATGAAATGAATTAAAATGGGTATCAAGCCGGGTTTTTTTTTAGATTCCATCACTCACAGTTGAAGAGTACCTATGATCAAAATTACAGACTTCCACATGCTTTGCAAGTGTGAAAACCTGCAAAATTGCCAGTGTATCAAATACAGTATGTACAGTGGGGAGAGTATGTCCAAAAATCGCCATACTTGTAGGTCAAACGGCGCACGGGCTGCTTTGTTGAAAACTGCCAGGGCTATGGAGGCCATTTACCAGTTTTGAACCACAACTCCACATCAGCTCTGTGATGTCATTACCTAGGACACTGACAAAACTTTAAGAGTTTTGAGTTTGCCAAGGCCCCAAAATATCTGCTTGAACTTTCATGCGAAGACAGTGTTCTCACGGCGGGAGAGTTTTTTCAAAAATATTCACGGTAAAGTCAAAGTAATCAGTTCACAGATTTGAGGTTGCTCAGATTAAATAGAAGTAGCACATCAAAGTGTACAACTGTAGCGTTTCCCTATGCCAATAGATGGCGCTATCATTTTTGGAAAATCACTGCATGGGAATACTTTAAGGCCTACACTAGCATCATGAATAACATTTTGGCAAGAATGTAAGTAACAATGTAAGACCAAAATGGGTGCCAGTCCACGTCCAGGTAGTTTCACGATATCTGTGTGGTCAAAAATTGTCAGGATCATTCTTCCCGGATTGGGAATTGATCGGATTTAAACTCTGAGGAGTTTGTTTGTCCAAAATACAATGGAAATTAGAAAAACAAGTAAATATTCAGCGATTGAGTGCAGCGTCCCCTAATGTCCAAATATTCTGAATTACTTTTGAAGTTGTAGGTCTAACTTTTAGGCCACACCCCTTACAACTTCATTGGTCCACAAACCAAATGACATACGTTTTTACTAACTTTAGATGCCGTTGAGCCAATAGTGATTTTCTGAAAATGTCCTGAGAATGGGACCTAGTGTCCTAGACGAGTTTGCAAAAACAAAAGTCAAAATCGCGGAAGATCTAGTTATTTGCATACCATTAGGGATGCACCGATCCACATTTTTTCACTTCCGATCCAATCCCGATACCTAAATTTGGATATCGGCCGATACAGATAATATTCCGATACCAGAGCTGGCGTTTATGAATCAGGCAATCTTTTCTGACATTGGTCATCCCAGGTTTGTAAGAAAACATTTCAGAAAATGCTTTAGAAAACGTGCAAGAATGTGTTCCAGAATTTATTATTTCATTTTGGCGAGCGACAGGGAAATTCTCTGTGATTGACAGGTTGCCAACCACTGCTTTAAACACAGTAATCCATGTGACATTTCATTATACTTTTTCTGTTTCAGTTTTATGCAATCATTCAATTAGTTTGTTTGAACATGCTTTTACTTTTAAATTAGTAGTTATACTATCAACAAAATCAAAAAAAAAAAGCAATAATTTTTCACCTTAGTCAATATTAGTTTGACGACAAAGTCTGTGCTCTCTCACACAGAGGCACATTGTGTTATGGATCATCTGACAATCAAAATGTTTGTGAGTCAATGTTTATTATATTGTTGTGCCAAAGATGATCCTCTATGTTCATGTTCCAACTATATATTTTCCGCTCCAAAGACCTTTGAGTGGCCCTGATGCATGGCTCGTATGTGTGTTAATTATTTCTCCTGCTTGCAAGAAAGACAGGCATGAAAACGGGTCAAGGGTGAAAAAGGTGAGAAGGATATTACCCTTCTAGGGCAGGGGTTTAACTGGTTTTATCCCAGGGACCACCATTCTGAATAGAAAGTAATTTGCGGCCCACTGACGTGCCTGCATGCGCGTTTGTAACCACCACGCCCACCCCACAGATATTCTGCCTATAACACATAATATGTGCAGTTATCAGGGTAGATCACTAACCGACATCGCCACGCCCCCTAACCCCCGCGCACAAATTCCGCCTATAGCACTAGTCAGTGTAATTTCTTTGATATTTTTCACGATATTCAAGAGTAGTCACTGAAGAGATTCAGTGACTGGATCTCGCGCTCCCTTCCCTTATGGTTGTAGCTGGTTGTCATCTACGGTCCACTACCATTACAGAGAGGTGCCGTTTGTGTTTTGGCAACGTTTTCTCTGATAATTTTGACTTTCTATCCCCTTTCTTCAGTGCGGAAATGGGCTTCTATAGTTGTGTGAATGCATCACTCGGGCCAATCCAAAGACGGGGTTTGTAACCAATCAGGTGTAGAGACCATGGTGACTGGCTCCGTCCCCTTACTGTCAAAAAGACAACGAGCGAGTAGAAAACTCCTTCGAGCGCGAGCAGAGATTCTCCTCGCGAGCAACGAAATTCACGCTCCGCGAGCGAGCAAATAACCCGCGCGAGAAAGTTTTGCTCGCGCGAGACCGGACTTTTGATTGCGGATGTTTGATTTATGCGCGTGCATCAACCTGAGTTGACAGTGATTTGCCGCCATACCCCCCCCCCCCCCAAAAAAAACTCACCGAATCTACACGATTCACGTAGGTCACCTATTTTGGTTTCAAAACGGCGAACTTCGCCGAAAGGTGAGGGATTTTCATGCCTGGAAAGAACTGGCTGAAGACAACTGTCAAAAGTCGAGGTCTCTCGAACTCTGTGTATTCCTCAAATGGCTTCCCTTTTTTATTTATATCCGGTACGGAGACAATGCATGTTCCACTATTTGTTCTTTGCTGTGTTTAAGTAATTTCAAGTTCCTCTTTCTCAGATGATCAGGTCATTACTTGGTATGGTTAATTGTAAATGAAATGTGATTTGTCCGGTTTGTGTTCACAGCAGCGGACTACATATTGTAAACAAACACCAGGTGTGAGCAAACTGTTCTGCGATTGGTCCAATTTTTTTGCAGCTATAAATAGACTAAGTGTAAGGGATTGGGGGTGTATGAACCCATTCAGGATGTAGAAAGGGGTGCGTAGCCTAAAAAGTTTGGGAAGTAAATCCCAGCCGACATCTGGTGAGGGACTGGGGACACCCAGGACTGGTCGCCAGTCCATCGCAGGGCTGACATGGAGACATTCACACACTCACAGCCATTTTTGGAGTCACCAATTAACCTACATGTCTTTGGACTGTGGGAAGAAGCCGGAGAGAACACGCAGAGAGCCCACGCATCATGGCAACTTTACCAAGAAAAGTGCTGAGCGAGTTTGAACATAGAACCTTCTTGCTGGAAGGCGACCTGTGCCACTGTGGGAATATCAATTATGAGACTCCATTAATAGTTTGGTCATAAGTTGTTGCTAGCTCAGGGTGATGCCGGTTATTTATTTATTTTGTGAATTATTTCGAGTGTTGGAACAAAAGCTAGCTTCCTTTTTCACATCCACAATTGTCCACTCCTCACTGTACACGGCAGTTCTGCCCCGACATGTGCGCGCATAGTCATGTGCACGCATACACAGACATGTGCAAACGCTCGCACCAGTGGACAGAGAGCGCAACTACTACCACTGTTGGTGTTGGCCAATCGGTTCGCACGACTACCACCGAAAAAGGCTTTTAAGTGCGCTTATAGTGCGGAAAATACGGTAGTTAGTTTCCACCATTTCATCTCTTCTTCTAAAACCCACTTTGTACACTGTTAGTGTGTATGTTGTTATTGTTTAAGTCAAAGGACTTAAACAATAACAACATACACACTAGTAAGGACTAACCTTGGCTTCAAAGAAAGTCTTTGCTCCTTTGACCCCCTCCGTAGAGACATCAATTTCAGAGAGGCGAGCAAGGACACCAAGGCCACTGTCCTCTGCTAGTTCTCCTGCTGCTGCCTTCCTAAAGATGAGTAGGAACTGTGAAGCAGAGTAAGAACAAACATGCATGGATGTAGACACAGGGAAAAGCACAACCTCTAAAGTCTAGATTCTAATCCAGTTTTCTGGTTTCACCTCTCTGAAGCTCAATTTGTTGTCCAGGTCCTCATCCACCTCCTTGATCATGTTCTTTAAACCGATGTGTGTCTGTGGAGCTCCGAGCTTCTCCATCATCAACTTCAGTTCCATCAGGTCAATGTAGTTGTCTTTCCCAGCATCATACCTTGACAGAGTTGATCGAAAACTAGTTTGTTATACGTCGCCTACCGAAACGGAAGAATACACACCTTCCATCACGTGCATGCTTTGCCAATATAGAACCACTCTCAAGCGTATGACAGAAATTATTATTATTAGGGGGTAGAGCGACCTGTCAATAGCCTGCCATTGGAGAAAAATCACGCCGGGTCACCTCTCACAGAGAGGAAGAGGAAGCAACAAACACTCAACATTCTGACTGTGATCCTGGCTCCTAAATGGTGGCATGAGCTCCGGACTGCAGAAAGCTTGGAAAGCTTCCGAAGCAAACTGAAAGCACACCTCTACCAACTATACCTGGATTAGGTAGCACTTTATTAGCACTTACAATGGCAGCTACCTATAGCACTTTGTAGTTTCTTGAAGAAATTGTACTTCCTTGCTTCTTGTTGTTCTGGCTGTTGATTGAATGCACTTACTGCAAGTTACTTTGGATAAATCAGCTAAATGAAAAATGTAAATATATTTAGGATGTGTTCATCATACTGCTTTAAGACTCGAGAAAGAGGGTTACTGATCGATCATCTGTCAGGTTCAACAGGGTCGACGGTGGCGCATGGGTAGAGAGGGTGCGCCGGAAACCGCAAGGTTGGCAGTTTGAGCCCCGGCTGCTCCATGTCCCATGTCGAAGTGTCCCTGAGCAAGACACCTAACCCCTAACTGCTCCCCAGGAAAAAATGTGGTAAAAATGCAATGAAAGTCACTTTGCATAAAAGCGTCAGCTAAATGACCTGTAATGTATGTAATGTCAATTTACAGTGTATTTACATTACAGGTCATTTAGCTGACGCGTTTATCCAAAGCAACTTACATTACATTTTATTTCTAACCCATGGCTTTTTATTACATTTTGGCCCGGGGAGCAATTAGGGTTTAGGCATCTTGCTCAGGGAAACTTTGACATGGGACAAGGGGCAGCCAGGACTCGAACCACCAACCTTGTGGTTCCCAGCGCACCCTCTCTACCCCTGCACCACGACGACCCTATTTCATCCATCAACCTATATTAAAACACAAATAAGAACAATGACCGAGCACACTATGAAATATTGTATATTCAATGAGTTACTTACTACTGACTTGCATAATGTCCCCGCCCAGCAATTACTAACGCTACAAAAAAAAAAAAAAAGGAGAATTGCCCTTTGGGCCTTCTAACACAAACTTCCTCAACCTAGAAAGTAAAAATGCTAAGAAATAATTTTACCTTTTCTTAGTGAGGACATGAAAGGGCTACATTATAAACTTACTCAGGCTTAGAAAATAAATCAATGTCTTCTGGAAGAAGGTTCACTTGTCCCGTGTGACTAAGTCAGGCCAGGTTTATTCAGTTATTCATAGTTTATCCTAAAAGCCTACATTTTGTTTTGAACAATAACATACAACTCTCCTCAAGTAAACCTCGCATATAACGTTCAAGTATGGAGACATAGTGAAACCATTGTGGGATCTGCCAACTCACTTCCTTCTATGAAGTTACTTCCCTGTGACATGAAATGAAAAAAACAAGTCAACCAGTGGCCTGAATGTTTAACATTTAGCCTCCAACCTGTCGGGATAATGTCACCAGTGTTCACGGAGATCGTCAAAAACTCACGTTTTGAACAACCTTTCCATATCCTTTATCTGGTTGCGGGAGAACTCTTTGAACTCGGTGTACGGGTTGAACACCTTCAGGCTGCGCTGGCACTGCTCACCCACCCCTTCGTTCAGCTCTCCTCGCCTCACCAGTTTAGCACCCAGCTCCGAGTCTGCGCTCACAGTACTTGGTTTTTCCTCCGACATATTTTGCTGGCCCAGGACGTCCACAGCAACAGGATCTTCGGCTCCTTCTTCGATCAGGAGCCGACGGCTAAGTTTTGAGGACAGCTCGTCTGTTGCCATTTTCCAAATGGGTTTCTACTATTCAAGCGATGAAGCAACCTAGCCAACCGCGGGAGTGGGCGGAGGCTTCTTCTTCTTCTTCTTCTTCTTCTTCTTCTTCTTCTTACGGTTTTGATTGGCGGTTGGCAACCAACTTTTGGAGCATTACCGCCAACATCTGGACTGGAGTGTGGTTCAGGAGGTCATCCTACACTTTCCTAAATCCTTACAAATAACCCAGTTATCTTCAAAAAATTAAACCAAATTTCACCAGATTCTTTTTTCAGTAACTCATATAAATTTAATGTCATCTGTTTTTCACCAAGTTGTGAAATCAGTCTTTGTCTGACTTGATGATATTTGGGGCAATACATTATTACATGCTCTATGGTCTCTTGACTTTTGCAATTTTCACACATTCCATCAACGTGCTTTTTCATTATAAATAATGTACCATTTACTTTTGTATGTCCTAGTCTCATTCTGGACACCATGTATTCTTCTTGCTTACTTCTGTATTCTATACAGGTGCCTCCCAGCTTGTTCATTATCCCACATAAACTGCCATTTTGCATTTGTTTTAGCTTTAATTATACTTTTGACTTCAGCTTTACTATATTTAATATTCTCCTCTATATCAGGCTGCTTTCTTCGCACACTTATCTGCCAGTTCATTACCTCCTACACCTATATGGGCTGGTACCCATATAAATGTAGTACTAATCCCGGAGTTAACCAGATTGTTAACCAGCTGCAGCATGTCATATACTATATCCTGTCTAGACTCAGAATGCAGAAGTTTAAGGCTTGTCAAAGCTGAGCTGGAGTAAGCCTATGTCTACTGGGACCTCTGCCAAAAGCCAAGGAGGAACCGCTGGACAGACCACTGAAGGGCTTATTTCCAGTGCACCAATTCCCATCATGATTACCTTCTGCCTTATTGTCCATCCAAAACTTTTAATTAGGCCATTTCCTCTCTCTTGACATTGCCATAATACTGACTGACTCAAAAGTGTGTCTCCATGACCACTCAAATTCACCCAGTACACCAGAGCTAGCTGATCTCTTCTAAGATGGAGAGGCATCTCCCCCATTTCAACCCTGAACTGCTGCCACTGGAGTGCTCTTAATTGCCCCACAGCATAGCCTCAGACCTTGATTTTGGATTACATCTAGCTTCTTTAATTATGTTTTAGCAGCAGACCCATACACTATACACCCATAATCAAAAAACGATCTCATCAGTCCTGTATAAATGGATTTCAGCACAGGCCGACTTGCCCCCCAGTTTACTCCACACAAGCATCTCATCACATTCAACACTTTCTTACATTTATCTATAATTGTTTTTGTGGGCGGAGGCTTCTAGACAGCCTCCTTTATGAAGAGGCAGACAGGACAGTAGCTGGGGCCGCTTCTTACTTCTGACGAGAAGTCAATCGATTGCATCACCTAAGCTGCGACAAGGTTATCCCACACACTTTGTTGGCTCCTTCCTATGCGGTCGAGGAATGCATCCCTCGGCCCTTTCTCAATACGGCAAGAACGGACTTGCGTTCTCGGGAAAAGGACTCGCGAGTCCTGACTTCCGGGTACGAGAGCGCGGAGAATGGTCGTTTCCGCAATTGACGTGATGACATCACGCATAAATAATATGTATCACGTTACAAAACTCAAAAACGTAATGTCCAACAGTAGAGGAATGCTCTCATGAATAACTGCCAGCACATGGCAAACGCCAACAGCTACACACAGGTCCATGCCTTCAAATTTCAGGTGTCAGTTCCAAGAAGCGGGTTTAGTGAAAATTCAGAGTTTGTTAACCCTGATATGAGGGAAACTCTGGGTTGTCTGTTTCAGAAAGGGAGGTAACTAAAGCTCAGGGTCAGTCACTATGGTAATTGACCCTGTGAACCTAACCTGGGGGGTATTCCAGAAAGGAGGTTCAACAAACTCTGTGTCTATCCCTGAACTCCGAGTTGACTTACTCTGAGATGGGATGATCTGCGTTAGTTCAATCAGCTCTGAGTATGTTCTATGTGTGACAACACCATGACAACAGTAAATAAAAGAGCAAGCTATTTCACTGCGATGGAGTTGGAGGTCCTTCTGTATACGTGCATTTAAACCATCAATTTTGTTAATTATCTTGGTTATTAGAGATGCATTTCATGCTGTTTATTTTATATGACGTTCAGGGTTATTTTGCAACCATAGTTGTAGACATCATGTAATTACTTTTTCTATTGTTAACGTTTAAGAACCAAACATACCTCCGAGGAAGAAAATCTAAACATGGGGAAATGTTGTGATACAAAGAAAATGACTTTAGTTTTGTCGCTGGGCTAGTAAAGTTAATATTATTTAATAGTCAAATAACACTTGCATTACACAAAAGAGAATATGCATTTCAAACGTATATTTGGATAATCAACGATTAATGTCAAGAATTTTGTATTTGAAATGGAAACTGTGGTCAGGTTGCAGTGCTTATTCCTATTTGTGGAACCTTCTTTCAGACTGTGAACCAGGTGGAACAGACAGTAAGTGCCACATCCGAGGCTCTCAAGTAACACTGCTCTCAATAGTATCACTATCGGTCAGCTGCACACGATGGCTAAGGTATCTACAGAGCAGCCCCTTATGAAGGACCAGTACAGCACAGGTACGACAATATATCTTCATTTAGATTATTCTGCATTATCTGAACGTCTTTAGAGCTACAAGAAGCGGGTACTTTTTGGAATTGAAATTGTCACACCCCCTAATTGGTCACCTCTTTAAATTTAAGCAACTGCTTAACGCACATGATGATAGAATAATCAGGATTGTATGGGTTATGAGACCTGCAAAGGCTCTGTATTTGTATTAATTGAATTGCTGTAACATTACATTTAGTGTTCTATTTGATATACATAGTCATTATTAATTAAATCTCCATTTTAGCAATTCAAATATTTTTACTGTAATTCTCTTCTAAGGTAAAAAATAGAAAACAAGCAAGCAACATCAGTCATGCAACTACCAGTGTATACACATTTGAATTATTATAGTCCTGTGTTCTGTAATCCTACAATAGGGTCTGACTTACGTTTAGTGCAATGTGTATTTAAGCAGTTTAACAGTTGTATTAACTTTTGTATGTCAACAGCTTCATTTTCTCATTAAATTCAATGAGAAAGTGTGTCCAAATGTTTGACTGGTACTGCATAAGACTTTGATCGGGCAGTACACATTTCCACTTTTTTGAGCAGGCCATATGACACAATTATATGTCATTATTATTATTTATATAATTATCTTATAACACCCCACCCCCCCAAAAAAAATCCTGGATCATCCTACAAATCCCAACTTTCTAATCTATGTCTAAAACAACATCCTTTCATTACAAAATCATCTAATGCAAATTAAGGGCAATTTGCATGAAAGCAAAAGAGGGGTACAGATAACGCAGGGGCCTTTTTTCTGAACTTTCTATTATACCATTTAAATATTTCGTAAACTATGCCAGACCAACATGACTTACTCTGCCTCATCAGCATTTTAGTAGATGGTACATCAGCATTTTTTTCCTTAACCTTAACATGTCAAAAACCAAAGACCCGATGAACCTCAGCCAGTAAGATATAGTGTAATTATATATATATATATATATATATATATTATGCCTGTTCTGTCTATGTGACTTGCATTGATAATCACCATAAACAATTCTACACATTATCTTATTTTGCTGTGTTATTAATTATCTCAAAATAGGACATATCCTATGTCCATGGTCTAGCGACATCATATCCCATAAAAAAATGAAGATTGCTCATTGAACAATTGGTGCTCAATCTTGTCTTTCTGTTTTCACTCATTTGTTTTTCTTAATATCCCTTGAAAGACTAATATTCTATAAGTATTCAAGTTTGTTGTACACCTCAACAGTTTTATGTATAGTATTACATTTGCTGCTTTGCTCTTTCACTTAACTTCTAGCATGCAGCACTATTGACTGAAATTGATCTATAGTGCTTTATTTTAGTATTTTAATGGCAAATATAGACTCTTGCATTAAGACTCTTTTGGGTAATGCAAATTGGATACCCATTAAAGTCTGAAGGCAAACCCCTCTCTGAATTAGTGACGTTTTAATGTATTTGGCATGCTTTCGGTATCTATCCATCTGCAAACCACTTATCCTGCACACAGGGTCACTATGTGCAATAGACTGGGTACACGTTGGATTGGTCACCAGCCAATCGCAGGGCTAACACAGTCATACAACCATTCACACTTACGGGCAATTTAGAGTCCCCAACACACCTGCTCCCCAGAGCATGTCTTTGGACTGTGGGAGGAAGCCAGAGTAGCCGGAGAGAATCCACAGACTCCACACAGAAAGGCCACTGGGTGGAGTCGAACCCGGGCCCTTCTTGCTGTGAGGCGACAGCACTAACCACCACACCACCGTGCCGCCGATGCTTTTGATTTAATATATATATATATATTATATAATATATTGTATACAATATATATTATTGATACAATATATAATTTATCTGCTAGATAACAGACTCAATGCTGAAGGCTCTTCTGATGAGACAAACCCTGCCAAGGCATCCAGTAGTCACAATGAGCTTCACAAGGAACTGCTGTTTGCCCATAAGAGGTAGGTACCATACATGTGCAACAAAGAGATGTAATCTGATATGATTTCTTCACAAACAGGAATTATTATGTTCTAAAGGGATTATTTTAACTAAGCTATTAGTCTGTTTTGACTCAGCATATTCTTAAGAATGGATGTATTAATGTACAATTGTGTCCATTGTCAGCATGCCTTTTATGTCTCTCTCCTCAGTCTGGTGTCATTAAGAAATCATGAGTCTCTTTCTTTATCTTATAAATGTGCAACCATACACCTTCTCTCCATGCTGCTGCATTTATTTAGGCCACAGGCATGTATCTGTGTAAAGTGATATCCTAAAAGGAAGACTGACTTGACATCTACTTCTGCTATCAATGAAAGCAATGGACCTTTCTGTGGCTGCCAGTTCACTAAATTCATTACATGTATTTTGTATAGCCCAAAATCAAAAAACACAAATTTGTCTTAAAGGGCTATACAACCTGTTCACAAACAATATCCTAATCCCCAGGACCCTAACACCATAAAGGAACGAAGGAGAAAGATACGGTAGTTAAAGATGGAGATAGATTTTTGCATTGGAAGTAAAATAAACACGATATATAGCAGAGAACTGTGCAGAGGAATACCTTCACATGTCAAATAGAAGGGGGATGTGTGGAAAATGGACCACTTTAGGACTGATACTGCCGTGAATATGTTGGTAACAACTACCCTGCGTGGCACACCAGTGTTGCCCTGGCTAAATGTCAGAGTTTTTTGGCGCTTCAAACACAACCGTCAAATGATGGAGAGTTAGTAGCACAGCAAACCAAATATAATTAACAAACACTAACAAACAAACATTAACAACAGTGTTGAAAATACACACTTTCTAAAGTCATAACTCTAATAATATTTAGTCTTTAGAAAAAAACTTTTAATCGCAGTTAATCTATATTCATGAATTTCAAACTGTAAATGTTATTAGTTTAAAAAAAATCTATTGACAGGCCTAGTCACAACACATCAATGAATATGACTTCAGTGATTGAAAAAATGACAATACGAAGCAGTATGATGAACATTACAACTTTAAATAACAGCAGTAGTGGATATGGCAGAATAATAATGATAGTTAAAAGCATAAATGTTGTACAGTACTGTGACTAATAATAAGAGCTGGGCATTAGTGCTGGGCAACAATTACATTCAGGGGGGGTGCTATCCTACTAGCATACGGAAGGCATCTCAGTTACACCGGAAGGCGGAAGCAAAGAGGGCAGATTTTGAACAGCGAAAAGCGCCAATCTTACGCCCTTCCTTAATATGCTTTTAAGTCTGGACTCTTTACGTCTTTATGTAGGTCCAAGTTTATAAATACTACCATATTTAAGTGACGGAATGTAATTTAGGACTTTTTCAGACTAGAAGTTAGTTGTTTAAGCAACATTTCTGCAGTCGGTTTATCATCATTCAGCCTTCGTAACGATGTGGGAGATGTGAGGTCTAGTTAACGGGACAATCTGACTCGGGGGTCAGCCTCATCTCACGCCGCAGAAAGCAGCCTATTCTCTGCTGACTGAAGCATGTCCTTGAGTGTATTTTGCTGTGTATTTGTACTTCTGTGATCTTCTTATACAGTTCAGGATGTGTTCGTAGGTCAGGCTGCTGAGCTGTGATGTATTTTGACACAAAAGCTGACAAAGTCTGATCATCATCCACTTCAAACACAGGTGCACCGTCTACCTATATGAGACAGTGAAAGTGCAGGCTTCCTCTGTGCTAAAACTCAATAGTTAACGACTTTGCCAAGAGGCTGTGCAAGAAAATAAGAGCAAATCTCTGAAAAAAGGCTTCAACACACTTATCAAACATGCACATTGTTGTGAAAGGGTTGCTTATCAGAATGTCACACGGCGCTAAAAGTGTGGTAAATTGGTACAAACCGTACTGGTGGAGAATGCCGTTTTCTCCTTGGACTCTGGCGACAGGAATCGGCCAGTAGCCCTTGGTTAAATCCAGTGTCGCGAAGAAACGTGCATTGCCTAGCCGGTCCAGGAGCTCGTCGTCCCGGGGCATTGGGTAGGCATACCTGCGATACCTGCGATAGCCCACGCAGAACCGTACAGATCCATCCTTCTTAGCCACAAGGACGATGGGGCTGCACCAGGCACTGTTGTTGAGTTTTGCTCGCAGGTCCAGGACGTACTGGATCTCATTCTTGCAGGGGCTTGGACCTTCCTCCCAGCTTTCTTTAATCAGGTCCAGCACCCCTCGCGGCGTCCTGCCAAACAAAAGTTCAAAGCGAGATCATCAGTTCAAATCCCGTGGAGGCCTGGGGGACCTTCCACACTGCAAACAACAGAGGGTCAAGCCAGTGGTCCCAATTACGCTCATCTTCGCTCAGTCTTATTCACACGTTCCACTAGCCCATCCGTCTGCGGGTGATACACGCTAGTACGAATGGACTTAATGCCCAGTAACCCGTAAAGTTCTCTCAGTGTGCGCGACATGAACGAGGTGCCCTGGTCAGTCAGAATCTCTTTAGGCATTCCAACTCGGGAGATGACCTGAAACAGAGCCTGCGCGACGCTCTTTGCAGAGATATTGCGCAACGGCACTGCCTCCGGTATCGCGTTGCGTAATCCATGAGGACTAACACAAAGCGATATCCGTACGCAACGGCGCCCTCGGAATGGCCGGAGCGTTCACTAACTGACACTCCAGGCAGGACGCGCACCGGCGGAGCACGTCCCCCCGGATGCCTGGCCAATAAAATCGGGTCATTATCCGGTCTAGCGTTTTTTCGTATCCCATGTGACCAGCCATCGGGTTATAGTGAGCCACCTGGAAAATCATTTCCCGCCAGCTTTTTGGCACCAGCGTTTTCCTGCCCCGTTCGAGTGTCACGACTCACTCTATACAGTCTGTCCCTAATCAATGAAAAGTGCGGAAATGACTGCGCTGCGTCAGGGCGCACCAGGTGACCATCAATACATATCACTTGGTCGTAGGCTGAGCGTAGGGTATCGTCACGAGACTGTTCGAGTGGAAAATCTTCCATGGAGCGAAACTCGGGAACCGGCGGAGTCTCTATGGGAGGCTCCGCGGGTTCCCCCTCCCCGTCTGCAGTGTCGGACGACCCTGCTTCACCGCTGAGCACAGCGCACATCTCGCATAACCCTGTCGGTCGTGAACGCACCCCCGTAGCCCCCCCCATTAACTTATCAAACCCCGGCCAATCTGTACCTAAAATGACGGGGTGCGTCAGCCGGGAGCTAACCTATGCTTTTTCCCCGCATATTTAATTTCCACCGATACCACAGGATACTCGTGAACATCCCCATGCACACACCTTATTCTCACCCGGTCTGCCTCCACCAATGCCCCCGGCCGAACCAGGCTCTGATGAATCAGACTGCGTGCAGCCCGAATCCACCATTGCCTGGCGTGTCCCACCAATTATGAAATTAACATGCTAACATTAATCTTAAAATTTAAATAATGCTAGCAAATATCTTCTAGCGTCCAGCTCTTCTAGCTCAAACCCCCACACAATATGTCAGACCCCCCTTGAGCTGCGCAGGATTGTAGCTTGAGAGTTCAGCTCCACTGGCGCGAGCGACCAGTGACAACCCCAAAAAAATCAGTGCCGAATTTACTGCGTACAAAGAATTCTCAACTAAATTTTTTGTTTTAAAGCAGTTGGGTGTTACATGGTATAGGGTTATTCAATGAGAGAGCAGTCTCGCCCACATGTGATTAACATCAGAATGAAATAAGAAAAAAATATACAACCAAGAATTAACAATATAAAACAGATAAGTATGTTAAAACACATATGTATGTCCATATGTTTCCATAGTGAGAGAAACCTCTGCAAATGTTTCCAGGGAGTAGCTTTCATTTAGTTTATGAGATCAGCTTTAATATGTGATTTGTGAAATTTACTGATTTGTTGTTTTTGGTAAATATCAACTAACGCTATTCATTAGAACAGGTGAGTTTGTTTTCAATGTCTGGAGCTCATCTGCAGGGAGGATTTAATTCTTACAGATTAGAGTCCCTTCTGCTTTTTTAAATGAAAAAAAAATGAAAGGTAGACCCTGTTGTATTTTCAATATTCCAACAAATGCTCTGACTCCTCCATGGGCTAAGGGGTGTGGCGCTGAGCAGAAGATCAGAACTTCAGCGGGTGATGGAGAGGAGGAAAAGGGTTCAGAATGACCGGGAAGAGGAGGGAAACAGCAGAACCCCTCTGGAGGATGTGCTGCTTAGACATCAACAGAAACAACTTGAGGTAAAGATCATTTCTTTTTAAAATGATAGTAAGGGGCTTTCGCACAAATAACACTCACTGAAAATTGAAAGTGAACTGATTCAAGGGAAATCAAAAGAAATACAGCAAGTAGTTACGTTTCCTTAATACTGTTGTTCAAGGTGACTAACGTTGTAATAAACTGAACTAGGCAGCGATGAAGCGTTCACTGCTTTATTTTTAGGCACCAGGAACCGCAAACCACCCAATTTGACCTCCACGGCCACATGACGTCACAACCAGGCATGTTGTGGATGTGCGGGGGGAGTTTCCTGCAGTCTGTAGTCATACTGGTGGAGACTAAATACTTATCGCCATGATGAGTGATTATTTAAACATGCGGTGCATCAGATCAGATTCTTGTAAGGATCCTTATTCTCTTGTACTGATTATAGCTTCTCCTCTTCACTTGATTCTAGCAGAGGTTTCAAAACGGTTTGGTCCATACATTGAAGGGAGAAGGACGACAATGGGATGTAGCGTAAATTTCAGACTAGATGCCGCTACTTTTTTCCCAAGCTTTAAATCCTGCGGCTCATACAACAGTGCGGCTAATGTGTAATTTTTTTCCGGGCTAACGCACTAGAGAGAGACAGACAGGTGCAAGAGATAATGCGCAGAGGAAGACGTTTGATTCGAACAGACATTTTGCGCATCATATTCAAACACTCATGGAAAATACACGTTGGAATATGATGCAGCATTTAAATTACGGGCAAGCAATCTGGCTGTCGGAGAAGGTAACAGAGCGGCTGCACGTAAACATGGCATTAATTAATCAATTAGACGTTGGAGATGGCAATGTGAGAACTTATTCAATGTGAAAAGACGGAAATAAAAGCAGATGGCCCGAACTTGAAAATGTTTTTGAAGACTGGGTGATCACACAGAGAGCAGACAGCCAAGGTGTTTCCACCGTGGAGATCCGACGGAAAGCCAAAACAATTGCCACCGAAAAGAAGATTGAAGATTTTAGAGGTGGACCCCTGTGGTGTTTCAGATTTAAGAGACAAGAACTGTTAACAAGAAACATGCATCGCGCATCACACTGAAAACAACTGGCCATGAGAGAACGCATTTTACTTGAGTTCTGGGCTGCACAGCATCCGGGGAGAAGCTTCTACCAATGGTGATTTTTAAGCAGATGACTGTGCCAAAAGAAAACCTCCCTAAAGACATTGCCGTGAAAGTCAACACGAAAGGATGGATGACAGAAAGCCTGCTACGGCAAACGAACTTTAGGTTATTTACATAACCCCGGTTTTCTTGAGTAATATGAGTGAGATGTCTCAGTATGGGATGCACACCCCGCTGCAGACCTCAGAAGCATCAATCTCATTACGCCAATCCTGATTGGCTGGTGAAACTTGTCCGTCCGCCTCAAGTAGTACCACCTACCTTAAATGTCTCATGCGGACGACACCACGTCATTCAAGATAAGCACCTCTTCTCACTCGCCCAAGCAAGAAGGGTTGTCTGGTGCGACATCTCACTCATATTACTCAGAGAGCCGGGGTTATGTAAATAACCTAAAGTTCTCTTTCATAATACTTCGTTCAATGTCTCACTATGGGATGTGGTTGCTCCCGTATTGCCAGACGGGCAGACGTATTGCTTATCTAGCAACCACCAACCTACAGGGAAAAATACTCCGTTCCAATTACAGCAAAACCGCGCGTGCCACACACGGAGCAGAGACGTCCAGCATATAGAAACGGACAAAAGTGAGCGGTGAGGACCATCTCGCCGCAGCACAGGCACAGATGTTCTGAACAGAAACTGCCCTGAATAATGCCTGGGATGCGGCCAGGCCCCGAGTCGAGTGTGCTCGCAAGCCCGCAGGTGGCTGCAAGCTCTGACTCGTATAAGACAAAGCAATCGCCATCACCACCCAATGGGATAGGCGCTGCTTTGTGACAGGTTTCCCCGTTGCGGATTAGCCCGGGAGGCGAACGGCTGATCGCTCCTCCCGAAACCCTTCGTCCTATCCATGTAAGTGCGCACCGCACGGACTGGACATAACGCATGCAAACGCTACTCACCTGGTGGGATGGCAAAAGCCACAAGGTCAATAGGAAAACATGAGCCCACCACCTTAGGCAGAAAGGCCGGGTTGGGCTTCAAAATCATCCTCACATTCCCCGGAAAGAGATGAGCGTATGACGGGTGCACCGAAAGCGCGTGGATATCACTAACCCGTTTAGCCGAACCCATCGGCAGCAACAAGGGCAAACCAGCGGGTGCTGGCTCGCTGTTCGCTTCCCAAAACCCACATCACATGCGGCGATGCCAACTTACTGCCAAGTAAACCTTAACCGTGGAGAAAGCTTTCCGTTTGTCAATCTGGTCCTGCAAGAATGACAATATCACTTCTACTGGACACTGAAAAGGAATGTGGCCATTTCTGTGACACCATCCCTCAAACACTCTCCACTTACAGTCATACAGGGACCTAGTGGAGGAGGCTCGAGCACTTTGTACAGTGGAAATCACCTGCTGTGAAAGACCCACATCAGCCACATTAGCCACTCAGGGGCCAAGCCCACAGCGCCAGACACTCTGGGTGCAGGCGGAAGACCGGACCACCCCTCGTCCCTTACAGCAGGTCCCCGACAGCAAGTCCCTTTCGCAGCGGGAGCTGCCAGGGCTGAGCGCACTCACTCTGGACAGAGCGGGAGGTATCCTGGCCTTGATACCTCAAGGGTGTGGGGGGGAATGTGTAGAGACCGTAGATCAGTTTGTGCAACTGACGGGAGCGTAATCCCCCCTGACGGTTGATGTACGGCACCGTCGCCATATTGTCCGTCCTCACCAGGGGCCTCATTTATAAAACCTTGCGTAGGATTTGCGCCAGAAGTGGCGTACGGATGAAACATAGGACGTGCGTACGCACAGAAATATTCAGACTTATAAAACCGTGCGCACCCAGTCCTACGCAGTTTTCCCTTAATAAATCACAATCACTTCTAAATGCAGCGCAGTTTTTGCGGCTTCATGTCACGCCCATAGTTACCCATATATAGTCTGTGGAACGCCCACAAATTAATATTCATCGATTGCGAAATCATGACAAACAGGAGGAAGAGAGGAAAACAAAGAAACGTAACGTCAAAGTCGAAATTATCATTGGCGAGGTGGAAAGGAATAGTAAAATGCTTTTTGGAGGGCACAGTATGGGCATTACTAATGCCAAATAGGCACTTGAGTGGCAAAAGGTTGCAGAGCAACGCTGCAGCTTCACAACCTCGGACCGTGGCCGAAATAAAGAAAAAATGGTCTGACATCAAAGTGGATGCAAAAAAAGCGTTTAGCGCGCCATCGCCAAAGTGTGTCTGCCACGGGTGGGGGAAAGGGGACACCGGAGCTGTCCCCTCTTTATGAGAGACTGGCGGCAATGATTGGGGATCGGGGACAGGGTCTGGGCCAACACAGCCATTGGCGTCAGGGGGTCGAGGCACGTTTGGAAGCTGTGCCACATTATGTAGCACAGCACATGCCAGCACTATTTTGCACACCTTTCAGGAGTATACAATAACCTCCCTCCAGTGCAGTCGAGGCAGCACCATCTGCCCTTAAACAGGCCGATGGTGCGCTCCACTACAGCGCGAATCCTTCCACGTGCCACATCTTCTAAGAGCGCAAGATCACTTGCGCAAGATCACGCAAGATCAACTATTTCGCGTCATTACGCATTGTGATGTCATCATGGCATTTTATTACCGTCCGTTTTATTGCATCTGACAAGCAACAGCTGTGTTTTGAGGATGAATTGCATAACATGCCAATATTATTGCAGAACATATTTCACTTTTCTTTCACTTTGAAAATGTGTTGATTTGTATTTCTGTTTGTTTTACGCTGCAGATCGATCAAACGGGTGTTCGTGTTATTTATGAGAGGCAGTATTGGCATTTCTTTTACACAGCAGTCTAGTTTTATACTTTCACATACGTTTACGTGTTTCTTGCATTTGCCGACGGTTCTCATTTCACCCGTTTTTGTGCGTACGCATGGGTCCGAGCTTGCGTGAAGGACCCGCACATTTATCCGTCAAGTTAGCTTTTTATAAATACCAATTATTGCATAGAGAGCGGCGTACGCCTTCTTTTGTGCGTACGCAACGTTTATAAATGAGGCCCCAGGACATAAGACGGAATGAAATGTTTCAGGGAGAGAAATGTCAGCGGCCAAGGTTTTTTTAAAACTAAAAGTGTGTTGCCAACAACGCCAGGTAAAAGCTAAGAACCCTAGGTTCGTTTGTTTGGGGGAGAGCAGTGAAACAATGACCCAAGAGGAGACAGGGGCGGAAATATTGATAACAAAATATGTATTTTAATACAATGATTAAAATATATAAAGGAAGCTAAAATAGTCCGTCCAAACTCATTACCACAGTAGAGCGAAGTCCTGCACGTCCTTAGTCCACCGGTTCAGACGTCTTTGACTGCCAGCTGCCCTCTGCTGCTGCTGTTTCTGGTGGTGCGTCAGCGCACAATAAATCGTTAAACATGCAAACAATCATAAATCAATAATTCAAAAAACATGCAATCATAAATCATAAAATATGCAATCAATAAAGCATGCAATTGTGTGGAACTAAATTATTGATATTAATAGAATTATTAATAATCAAAGATAATTTTCAAAATAAACGGGGCACCACCCTGATCTAACAGGGACTATGTGACTTAGCGCCTTTGAGGCCAACGCCTTCACAGGATGGTGGCGTCAAGGACTCACTGAGGTTTGAGTTGGGATGAGGTTCAGGCAAGAAAGAAGCCACGCTCTGGGATGCGATTAACCATTCTGTTTAGTTACCTTTCGTTGGTCTTCAGCAAAACAGAAAAAACACTTATGGCCAAAAAGGAACAAAAGGAACAAAAGGAACAAAAATGACAACAACCTCTCTGACTCTCCCACGTTTCCCTATCCCCTCGCTTTTATACAGGCTGGGGGTTCTGTCAGGTCTAATTGAACATGCA